AAGACAGTACTTACCTTAAAATTTTATTTTCTTAACATATTAATGACACATTAATACTTCCACTGTAGAAAAGCGATTGTGTGACAATCTACATCCAGAGGATGATGGAAAAGCACTCATTCTAGTGTGGGAAATTTCAAAAATCAGTGGTAAAGAAAAGCATCAACCAGCTTACTATGATAGATGGTCAAATAATACCACAGACTAATAATTTTAAAACATTGAACCTAGGTTTCGTACTAGATGGACAGATCATCCAGCACTTGTCAGATAGAAATTTTATAGGTTGAGATGTGTAGAACTTCTAATGCAAACTACTCACAAATTTTTCTTGTGAAAATCCGCTTTTAAAGATGATGTTACAGCATTATTTCATCTAGATATGATAAAAGATAAATCTTGATTGTCAAATGACAATCAGTATCGCAGGATGTGACTTTTCAAATCAGAATCATTAACTAAGGTTTTAAAAATCATCGCCAGTGTTTGAACAAGAAGTTCGTTAATCAAACAATTTTCGGAAATGAATGAATAAAATTGAATGTTAAAACAACCAACAGGCAAATTTCGACAGAATATACCTTATATGATAAGTACGAGGTCACAAATAATCAAATGATTACCCACTACTTACTATAGTGTCAACTAACTAGTACAAATACATATTTCCGAAATGCTTAAGAACATTAATCATTTCTCTAAAACATGTTTAGAAACAATTCATTTAGACAAAGCTACAATCGGAATTTCGAAATACGCAGTAAGATAAGGAAACCAGTCTGAAATGTTGGTATTTTAATTTCTAACTAAATGCATTTTTTTCATTGATAATTCTCTAGCCTAAATACAGAACCTGCCACTAAAAGTCTAAATAATCTTAAGTATTACCGTCGATACATTAATGACACACTAATCGTGTAACATTCATTAATGAACAAGAGCTGTCGGAGAGTTCCGGTAACAGTTTGAAACATGTACATTCCCTTTACCGAGAACAATATCGCTATTCCCCTAAATGTTATTCGCATGTGTAGTCGATTTTTATCAATGAAATGTCTATAAACATAGGTGTTACGCCTAGAATTAACAGTCTTACTCATTATATCAACAGTTTTCGCCGCGTTTATACATCAAAATGTCTAACACTTTTAACAAGTCTCAATGTAGTGATTTTATTGAATTTACCCACCAATGTGCTGTTGAGTTTGACGTAACTGGGACCGGACAATAAGAAGTTTGTGGTTTGTAAACATTCGAACCAAAGACTGCGTTCCGTAATGCATAAGTCCATCATACGTATATTCAGAAATGTTTTCGTTGTAATACAATGGTTAGTTGATGTTTGTTCTTTTCATTTAAGCCTCTACATGATCCGATTTATTTGAACTTGGTTTGATGATTTAGTAGAAAATTCATATTACTTAATCAACTTTAGCTAAAACTACGAAACCTAGTCTTTTATCTAGTTTGCTGATTATGTGATCCCCCGGTCTCGATTTCCGGATGGCTTCCAGATGTTCATCAGTCAGTTTATTCTTTGTGAAGTACTTATTTTTCCTAAGTTGGTTACATCAACCAACCATTTTCGTCCTAAGTCTTTTAAGTTCGACCTTTCTTGAGAGCATCAAATTTCATGTCTGGATACATCAATTCCTAAACTTAACAATATTTACATGATCCACATATTTATGCCAATCATAAGACTTAGGACCTGGTGACAAACTGCTGGGATCTAGCGCGTACTCAGTAACACACATCTAATCCACATGAGTTTCTTAATATAATTACCCTTGGTGTTGCCCCCAAATGCCCTGGTATGGCCGAGAGTGGGATAGGTTCGCCCACTCGAAATACTCTTACACGGCCACGCGTACACAGCCTCTGCCAGGGAAGTCCTACTCACTGCCTTCTCGTGGCAGGGGTGTTATTCACTATTATTATTATTTACTACGTCATTTATTCACTCTCTTTTATTCCCACTTTATGTATCCTTTTCGACTTCAACAGCAGCCCGCCTATGGTGGAAATTCGGCTCAACCTAAACGTTCTCGAGTCACTGCCTGGTTGAAAATTGTATGTTACTACCGAATACAAATACTGAAGCAGTTTTTCTGAAACCACGTGCATCATTCAAACTGGCTGCCTTCAACGTTCGCACACTTATGCAGGTCGGACACCAGATAGGGCTGGCTATGTCTTTGGAAAGTCTTCATATTGACGTGTGTTGTCTATCCGAGACCCGTATTCAAGACTCTAGTGAAGTACTACAAATTCGCTCTCCATCTGTCACTTCAAAAAGCTTGTTTTACGTGTGTTTATCCGTGGACCCTGTGGCATCTTCGTCTGGTCTTGCTGGCGTTGGTGTCGAATTAAGCGCTAGAGCTGAGGCAGCACTAGTCGACTGGATCCAGATTAACAGTCGGTTATGTGCTGTTAGATTAGAAAGTTCCATCAAAGTGAGAAGAAATCGGCGTGAGAAACGATGTCTTTTCGTCATCTCCGCCTATGCCCCGACAGATTGCAGCCCGGATGCAATCAAGGATGAATTCTACCACCAGTTAACTGTTCTTCTCCAGAAAGTGCGTTCGACAGATATTGTAGTACTAGCCGGAGACTTGAATGCTCAGGTCGAGCGTCTAGGCACAGAAGAGAGTCGTTTAGGTGGCCGATGGGGATTTGTTGGTCGCAGGACAGATAACGGGGAACGTCTACTGCAACTATGCACAGACCACAATGTTTCTGGCTAACACTAACTTTCGGCACAGCCGATGTGCCACCTGGAGTCCTCCTTCTGCATATCAAGCCTGGACTCAGATTGAACACATCGCGATCAGCTACCGCTGGCGTGGTTGTGTACAAGACTGCCGCTCCTTTTGGAGTACCCCTCTGGAATCTGATCATGCTCTGGTCTGCGCCAATCTTACCTTACTTTTCAGTGAACAACAAAGTGACCGCCACCAAAGGATTGATGTTAGCAATCTGGCTGCAACTTCTGTTGCTGGTAAGTACCGAACCGAGCTAGCTTCTAGGCTAGCTACCATTCCACCGAAAAGTATAGATGAGCATTAGTTGCAATTGCATGACGCCATGAAAATGGCAGGTCAAATCCAGAACGCAAGTCTCAGCCTCTGTGATATGAATCATTATATTTCCAACATACTCTGTTTATTTACCAATCAAACAGACTACATCGCACCATAAAATAGAAAATAACATTTGTACAAGATTTAACCTCCAGGAAATGACACAAATAAATATTGACCAACAGGAAAATGACACGTTGGACAAATATTGACCAATGGGGAAATGACACCATTTCTCATTCAGGAATATCATTAGATAATTTCTGGGGTATTTTCTGAATACCCCAACAGTACCAACCTCATGGAATGAGTCGATAGTTGTCCCTATCTCTAAAAAAGGTTCACGTTTTTCCTGTAACAACTATCGGGGGATAAGTCTACTTCCGATGGCGTCCAAGCTATTGGCTTCCGTCATACTTCGTAGGTTGTTCAAAACCCGTGAAAGATTGACTCGCGAGGAGTAGGCTGGGTTTCGTTCTGGTCGAGGATGTATTGATCATATCTTCACTCTCCGCCAAGTGTTAGAACACCGCCATACTTATCAAAGGCCAACAATCGTAGTGTTTCTTGATATCAGGGCTGCCTTCGATTCGTGTATCTAGGTAGCTGCATAAGTGCTGGTGGTGGCGTGAGTAATGAGATCAATGCACGTATGGTGAAAGCCAGAGCGGCTTATGCCAATCTGGGCCATCTATGGCGCCTTCGTGATGTTAGTCTGGCTGTAAAAGGTCGGATGTACAATGCGTCGGTGAGAGCAGTTCTGCTCTATGCTTGTGAAACCTGGCCTCCCCGAGTTGAGGATGTTAGACGACTCTCTATGTTGGATTATCGCTGTCTCCGAAGAATTGCTGACATCCAGTGGCAACACCATGCTAGTGATGCAGAGGTTCGGCATCGTGTGTTCGTGCACAGAGACGATAATCCAATTGGTGTCACTATCTTGAAACACCGACTTCAGTGGCTTGGACATGTTCTACGAATGTCGTCCCAGAGGATTCCTCGTCGTGCATTGTTTGCCGACTCTGGGACCGGTTGGAAAAGGCGGAGAGGTGATCAGTGTATGACATGGTGTCGTGGTATGAAAGAAAGCTGCAAAGGGCTGGCTTGTGTTGGTCCTTCACGACTCCCTGGCTGGGGTCCGAGAGATGGTGTAACACAGTGGCTAGAAACGTTATCAGATATGACTCAGAATAGAAGCCAGTGGCGATCGTGCTGTAACCTTCTTTTACTTTCTTAATAAAAAGTGGTTGCTTCTTCCTTAACTGAAAGATTTCTTCTGATTGTACTTTTACGTTTCCCCCATTTATGTTTTTCTTATAATTCCCTACGTTGCTTACCTTTTTTCCCTCCTTTTTAAATTCTCATTGTTTTGTGTGGCGCATATATATTTGGTGCCCCCTTGTACCAATATTTATGTGTTCAAATAAATAAATAACCCTAACAGCACTTATTTTGTATTACATTCATACAGCGTTATGACTATTATTATTTGCACTAACCAGACTAACTTCCTCCTACGATGCGTTTAATGCACATGATTTAGATTATTATTACTGATCGTGAATTGACGTCTGATTAGGAGAATCTGCCCTTTTGTACATGACCTGCCTAATTTACAAATGACACCTTTATGTCATAACAGATGAAGAAGTCCATCATTTCTAACAGAACTTTGTCCAATTCACTACCATGATTTATTTTAGCCTTTATAAAATAGCTTCGAAATTGTAAGTGTGGAGCATGGTGTCGAAGTTACCGAAAAATTGTTCGTCCTTATATTTTGGTTTTTAAATATCCTGTAAGGATTCTTAAACTGCTATCTCAAAACACTAAACTCCACACAACTTAAGTGGTTTATGCCTTTTATGATCTTATATGCTTTCATCCCTCTCTCTCCAAACTGTCATAAAAAAGGCGTCAAATGAAATTAGTGCATTTTAACAACGCTTATTTAAAGCTAATAATTGGCAAAAGAAAACTTTTATTTCCAAAAAGAAGAGGAAAATCTGAATTTTTTGAAAGAGACAATCTTTTTCAATACAAAAAACAAAATAAAAGTAGCTAGATTCTACATCGTCACTATCACAGACAAGTGGGAAAAATGCGCAAGAACAAAATGAACAGAAGTATCGCAAAGTTAGCGTCCTAAAAATCCAAGTATTCGGAGTACTTTACAACCAACAGCAACGTATTTTGACAAATTGTAGAAGGCAGACGAACGCAAAAATTAAATCACACTTACCAAAGACTCAATAGCAAAAATCGAAACAACTAGACAGATAACTTATGTCTGAAATTCGTCTCCGATAAGAAATTTTGGGACGAATTCACGCTACTTATCTTATTGTTAATAATAGTACCATGATTATTTGAAGGCGGGTAAGATGAATACAAAATAGTAGCAACAACCACAAAGATAGCACCAACATAAAATAATATTGTCGGATTAAAATCAAACCAGAATATTGATAAAATAAAAGTAAGCACAATAGCCAGTGATGTGGCAAATCCTTTGCGTATATTATCAGCATACCGAATAGTTGCAGCGATCAGCAAACCACCTAATGATTGAATTAATATTGCTGCCCATACAACAGAGTCGTAGCCAAAAAAGAAACCTTTACTAGCAATTTCTTTACCATCTTTCAAATAGACGGTCAGGATACCAGCTGTAACACCGTAGAATGCCAACTGTATATTACGTATAGCTACACTTTTATGACTACCCTTTAATAATTTCTCAAAGAAAACACCAGCAAAACCCGAACAACTACAAGCCAATATAACAGAAGAAAGACCGACAAGTAGATTATTATTTTCTGCAATATTTGTAGTTTTTTCAGTACTGGAATTGACTACATCACTTAGTTGTGTTAATACAACACCGGCGAACAGAACACCTAAGGAGCACCATTGTATCCGACTTAAATGTTTCGATAAAATTATTCTAAAGAAGATTGCCGTTGTGAAAATCTTTAATTGGTATGATATCTAAAAAAAAACCAATGGAAGCCGTTCACGAAAGTGATAAGGGAGATAGGATTCGACAGATATAGAAATTTTACAGAATAAATACAATTAACTACTTAATATCGGTTGAAAAATGACTACGCAACTCAGCTACAAAAATATGAACTTTACATTTATCTCAATGATATACAAACCAAATCTGTTGTATATTATAGCCTGGGGTTTAAGTTCTCACACTATTTTAAGAATCTATGTACACTTGTAGGGGCTTGTGTACGAAATTCGTCAGTCCGTCTTTAGTTTAGAAAAAAGTCATCTGTTTACTAATTATATACTCTTTGGAAATCTTTTGTTTGAAACTGACATGTCAGAGATGGACTTCCTAGATGAAAACCTTCATCAAATTTACTTACACTGATAGTAAGGTTCTTTGCCAGTGAAGACACTAATAAAGTAACCTTCGAAAGGTGCATTTTTCACTTCAAATGTAAATTGTTGCAGCAAAGTTGGCTTAAACCATTATCTAGTCTGATTATCCTAAGTGAACTGGTGTCGAGTCTCAACCATCACGAATTCTGAGGATTTTATCGAACCAGTTGAGCCGTCTGTGACTCACAAAAGTTCCCTTTGCAAACGAAAAGACAACTTGGCTACATACAAACTTTTAGTATGATCGTTTGACTGCAATTCTTAAAGACATTGAAGTGTGGTTTCTGAAAAAGCCATTAAAGGATGCTGAGGCTAAATACATAGAACTGGGTAAAAATATCGAATGGGTTGGCAAAGCTATGAACATTGTTGCCCTGAGGCGTAGGAATATTCACCTCTAACCACTACTAACCGCAGTATCCTATGTTGAATAGCATAGGATTAGGTCGAAGCTTTAGTGATGATGAGACTAAGAAAGTGGTATATGTGATGGTTAACACACCAATCAAAAGTAGGGGATGATTTGAAAAGCCCAATAAACCCCCGAATGCCCTGGTATGGCCGAGAGTGGGGAGAGTCAGCTCTCCCTAACGAAATACTTTCACATGGCTACGCGTATACAGCCACTGCCGGGGAAGTCCTATTCACTGACTTCTCTCCTCAAAGATGTTATTTACAAATCTGGGAGGATGAAAAGCGAATGTCTGACGCTTTAACCGGGTTGATGGACACGAAGGATCCACCAAGGGGGACTGGAAAACCTTCATTCCAAACCAATGGTGAACATGGGCTCCAGGATCCTGAGGGGACAAATGGAGTACGAACTAATCGTCGTCACCGGCTAACATCGGACTGCAACTCCTGACGTTGTTCCACTGCCTTGTGAAATAAACTTCTAGTAAAAAGGCTAAGGGAGTGGCCCTCTAAGAAAACCACCCGGTTCAATTTGGGCACCCGGGCAGTATCTAGCCCTTACACAAATCGAATGATTTATGGGATGTATATTCATTTGGTGCCTCCTTCTTTCCATAATAATAGTAATAAACGCTTTAGATACCCCACATAGTGGAGGTATGGAAATAAAATGGACAACAGCTTCTCAGCGGCAAAGACAACCTTGACTTAGGCTGACAAAGCTTGTGCAATGATCATGAGCATTGTTGATCAGCTAAGACGGAAAACGATGGAAAATGTAGAGATGATAGGTAATAGCAAACAAGTTCTCAAACTTACCACAGAAACAGGTATTTAATATTCGACTTAATAGGCTTGTTTTTGAAAACGATGAAACAATAATCTACTTTAAACCGAGGAAACTGAGAAATGGATAGAACACTTAGAACAGCTTAACTTGTCTTCGGCTACTCAAGTATTTATTATTTGTTTGAACCCATAAATATTGGTACAAGGGGGGCACCAAATATATATGCGCCACACAAAACAATGAGAATTTGAAGAGAAAAAAAGGAGGGGGTAAGAAGAGTAAAAAAGAACAATAACGACCAGATTAGTGTAAGGTAGTGTAATTAATAATAATGATAATAACAATAATAATAATAATAATAATAATAATAATAATAATAATAATAATAATAATAATGGGAGAAATGGAAAGGTACAATCAGAAGAAATCTTTCAGTTAAGGAAGAAGCAACCACTTTTTATTAAGAAAGTAAAAGAAGGTTACAGCACGATCGCCACTGGCTTCTATTCTGAGTCATATCTGATAACGTTTCTAGCCACTGTGTTACACCATCTCTCGGACCCCAGCCAGGGAGTCGTGAAGGACCAACACAAGCCAGCCCTTTGCAGCTTTCTTTCATACCACGACACCATGTCATACACTGATCACCTCTCCGCCTTTTCCAACCGGTCCCAGAGTCGGCAAACAATGCACGACGAGGAATCCTCTGGGACGACATTCGTAGAACATGTCCAAGCCACTGAAGTCGGTGTTTCAAGATAGTGACACCAATTGGATTATCGTCTCTGTGCACGAACACACGATGCCGAACCTCTGCATCACTAGCATGGTGTTGCCACTGGATGTCAGCAATTCTTCGGAGACAGCGATAATCCAACATAGAGAGTCGTCTAACATCCTCAACTCGGGGAGGCCAGGTTTCACAAGCATAGAGCAGAACTGCTCTCACCGACGCATTGTACATCCGACCTTTTACAGCCAGACTAACATCACGAAGGCGCCATAGATGGCCCAGATTGGCATAAGCCGCTCTGGCTTTCACCATACGTGCATTGATCTCATTACTCACGCCACCACCAGCACTTATGCAGCTACCTAGATACACGAATCGAAGGCAGCCCTGATATCAAGAAACACTACGATTGTTGGCCTTTGATAAGTATGGCGGTGTTCTAACACTTGGCGGAGAGTGAAGATATGATCAATACATCCTCGACCAGAACGAAACCCAGCCTACTCCTCGCGAGTCAATCTTTCACGGGTTTTGAACAACCTACGAAGTATGACGGAAGCCAATAGCTTGGACGCCATCGGAAGTAGACTTATCCCCCGATAGTTGTTACAGGAAAAACGTGAACCTTTTTTAGAGATAGGGACAACTATCGACTCATTCCATGAGGTTGGTACTGTTGGGGTATTCAGAAAATACCCCAGAAATTATCTAATGATATTCCTGAATGAGAAATGGTGTCATTTCCCCATTGGTCAATATTTGTCCAACGTGTCATTTTCCTGTTGGTCAATATTTATTTGTGTCATTTCCTGGAGGTTAAATCTTGTACAAATGTTATTTTCTATTTTATGGTGCGATGTAGTCTGTTTGATTGGTAAATAAACAGAGTATGTTGGAAATATAATGATTCATATCACAGAGGCTGAGACTTGCGTTCTGGATTTGACCTGCCATTTTCATGGCGTCATGCAATTGCAACTAATGCTCATCTATACTTTTCGGTGGAATGGTAGCTAGCCTAGAAGCTAGCTCGGTTCGGTACTTACCAGCAACAGAAGTTGCAGCCAGATTGCTAACATCAATCCTTTGGTGGCGGTCACTTTGTTGTTCACTGAAAAGTAAGGTAAGATTGGCGCAGACCAGAGCATGATCAGATTCCAGAGGGGTACTCCAAAAGGAGCGGCAGTCTTGTACACAACCACGCCAGCGGTAGCTGATCGCGATGTGTTCAATCTGAGTCCAGGCTTGATATGCAGAAGGAGGACTCCAGGTGGCACATCGGCTGTGCCGAAAGTTAGTGTTAGCCAGAAACATTGTGGTCTGTGCATAGTTGCAGTAGACGTTCCCCGTTATCTGTCCTGCGACCAACAAATCCCCATCGGCCACCTAAACGACTCTCTTCTGTGCCTAGACGCTCGACCTGAGCATTCAAGTCTCCGGCTAGTACTACAATATCTGTCGAACGCACTTTCTGGAGAAGAACAGTTAACTGGTGGTAGAATTCATCCTTGATTGCATCCGGGCTGCAATCTGTCGGGGCATAGGCGGAGATGACGAAAAGACATCGTTTCTCACGCCGATTTCTTCTCACTTTGATGGAACTTTCTAATCTAACAGCACATAACCGACTGTTAATCTGGATCCAGTCGACTAGTGCTGCCTCAGCTCTAGCGCTTAATTCGACACCAACGCCAGCAAGACCAGACGAAGATGCCACAGGGTCCACGGATAAACACACGTAAAACAAGCTTTTTGAAGTGACAGATGGAGAGCGAATTTGTAGTACTTCACTAGAGTCTTGAATACGGGTCTCGGATAGACAACACACGTCAATATGAAGACTTTCCAAAGACATAGCCAGCCCTATCTGGTGTCCGACCTGCATAAGTGTGCGAACGTTGAAGGCAGCCAGTTTGAATGATGCACGTGGTTTCAGAAAAACTGCTTCAGTATTTGTATTCGGTAGTAACATACAATTTTCAACCAGGCAGTGACTCGAGAACGTTTAGGTTGAGCCGAATTTCCACCATAGGCGGGCTGCTGTTGAAGTCGAAAAGGATACATAAAGTGGGAATAAAAGAGAGTGAATAAATGACGTAGTAAATAATAATAATAGTGAATAACACCCCTGCCACGAGAAGGCAGTGAGTAGGACTTCCCTGGCAGAGGCTGTGTACGCGTGGCCGTGTAAGAGTATTTCGAGTGGGCGAACCTATCCCACTCTCGGCCATACCAGGGCATTTGGGGGCAACACCAAGGGTAATTATATTAAGAAACTCATGTGGATTAGATGTGTGTTACTGAGTACGCGCTAGATCCCAGCAGTTTGTCACCAGGTCCTAAGTCTTATGATTGGCATAAATATGTGGATCATGTAAATATTGTTAAGTTTAGGAATTGATGTATCCAGACATGAAATTTGATGCTCTCAAGAAAGGTCGAACTTAAAAGACTTAGGACGAAAATGGTTGGTTGATGTAACCAACTTAGGAAAAATAAGTACTTCACAAAGAATAAACTGACTGATGAACATCTGGAAGCCATCCGGAAATCGAGACCGGGGGATCACATAATCAGCAAACTAGATAAAAGACTAGGTTTCGTAGTTTTAGCTAAAGTTGATTAAGTAATATGAATTTTCTACTAAATCATCAAACCAAGTTCAAATAAATCGGATCATGTAGAGGCTTAAATGAAAAGAACAAACATCAAGCTTGTTAGTTTTTGGTTAACTTGTCTTACGTACTAATCACTAGTTACTTCTTAGATCATAAACAGGACATGGATGTAAGATATATCTTGATCGTTTTTTCTGTTGACGAATTCATATGAAACAGAAATAGCTCATAAATCAAACTACAGAAAAGACGTTTAAATAACTATATCAACATAATACGAGACGAAAATTAGATGGATTTCTTTACAAACTAGCGACAGTCACTAAGTAGTTAGCAAGGTAACTAACCTGAAAGGAAACAGCATCTAAATTTGAATAACCAACGAACAGTAAGTTGTTTTGAATTGTGTAGATCATTCCGGGGACGGATACCAAAAGACAATCCTTTGGATCTTTCAATATATTTTCCCATAAACTGTGTATACAAGAGGCAAAACAACATCTCTCTTCGAAAAAAACAAGTAGAAAACAAACTAAAAGTTTCACAAATTCACTCATCACCACTGCTGTTGTAGGAAAATACAAGTCTCCTTCTCTAGCACGAGAATATCGAGTCACAAGAACAACAGCGGCATTTTGCACAACTAAAGATAACAAAGCAACACGTCCAAGGAACGAATCACCTATGACAATTAACAAGCGTGTAAAAAGCATATCTTACTCTGTAGGATTTTATATTTATCTATCCACGAAACCATTTGAATACGCGACTGACAAAAAAAGTACCAACAACCTAGAAAAGAATCAAAGCTAGAAAATTTATGCATGAGTAAATGTCCAGTGTCTCGCGAACGATAAGAAACAGTTATATTTTGCTAAGCAACTAGATGCACGCTTGCGTAATTAGGTTTGAGCCACGTTATACCACGAGGTAGGCATACCAAGGCTAAAACCTGAAACTTAGCGGTTGAAAGTCACAACACACAGCAATCTTCAGAACACGTAATAATATTAACATCAATACTTAAGCAGTGTAGACCGCTTGGATGAAATACATTGAATGGAGTACCACGGAGCATCTCAAGGCTCGACGGAATGGGCGAAACACAATACTGGGTTGAGAGTTGGTTGCTTATAAATCATGGTATTCCACTTTCCTGAAAATTAACACCAAATTATCTGTTTTCTCAGTATTAACAAGTGTAGTTAGTTTTTAATAAAGCTTAACGTACTAATAAACCGTATAGTTCAGAAGTCCGCCTATAATAGTTAGCTATAACGTTGTTTTGTACTGTTCCGCAAAAATAATGTTTAATATGTCATTTTAGGGAAACTACCTAATCGTACGTAGACGGCAACGCTTCAGTGGTCTCGTCCACTGTTGGAGGTTGCGAGCACTTGAAGGTCAAACTGTCGCAAGATGATTGGTGCATCACATCGACAATTCGTGAAGTTTTTCAGAGGCGGTCAAATCAAGACATTTTCAGATTTGAATTGAGTTCAGCCACACCATGTCTGATAACGTCCATCCTTCAAGTAACTTAGACGATACCATTGTGATGATGCATGACATAGGACGAATATTTAATGATATTTTGTTATCTCGGAGATTTTCAAGTTAGGACAATTTTGAGACCTGTTTGAAAGTACATAAGGTAATATGACTTCTGTGGTTAATGATTATTTTTGTAGTATACGCATACTAAGTACGTTATGTCAGGATGTAAAAAGATCAATGATGACCCAACTCTAAAGTGTTTTTTCGTGAGATATGTCTGTACATATGGACGTAAACGCAAATCGTCAGAGTCAGATGCTTGCGTTCAGGATGTGGATGATGATAGTCATCATCATTCTTCCGAAGAGCATACAACTTCTAACTCACCCCCACAGCCTAGACAAAGAAGATGACGTCAGTCATCAACGTATGCTTTACTTCAAATTAATTTACCCTTCAGGTCGAAATATTGCCATTGTCAATCTGGATTTTTGGTCCGTGCAGTAAATGGTGAGCTGAAATTCATCTCTATCAAAACCGTGCACAACCATCCTTGCACAGAAGGATGTATTTCTGTAGATCCTTCAAGACGAAAGCTGACGTCAAGTGAACGGCTATATTTGAGAACGTTTCTATCGAGTAATACACCAACTCGTAGTTTACGGCATCTGGTTTCTTGGAAGTTCCATAAACTGCTTACCGACGACGATATCTCTAAAATGCGTTCACAGTTGTACCCAAGTTGTTGAACTCATATTGTAATTAATTGAACTTAGACACTAAAAATATCAATGACATTTTACAGCGCGTTCGAGCAAACACTGAAGTTAAAGTAGTCAGTGAGCATGGGAACATATCTATGATTTGCTTCAGTCGCAGGGAGCAAGTAGCTGTTTACCACGCGTTCCCAGAGGTAATATATATTGACTCGACTTATCAGACAAACAAAGTTGGGTAAGTAAAGAATAGTAATAAATTTATCTTAAAGTTTTCCACCGTTCCAGCTAGTGGTGACTGATAGTCTTGAGCAAAGGCACACTGTTATGTATGCTCTTTGCAGACAAGAACGACGCGAAGATATCGTAAAACTATTAGGATGCTTTAAAAATATAATGTGCATTACTTATGATACACACACTTTCGTTATGGATTCGGCAGCGACCGAAATTTCAGCAGTGCAGTCTACGCACAGTCATGCCAACATAGCACTCTGTTCATTCCATGTCTTAAGAGCATTTCTCAAGAAAGTAAGTGTTAGCTGTACAAATTATTTTCTGTAGTTCCGAAATCCTGATGTACGCAAATGCTTGGAACACCTTGTAAAGACTAGACGGTCTGACATATGAGCTTCGTTTTTCCTAACGCATTATATTCAGATTCACTCAGAAGTACGAACATCTAAGAACCCGTTCCCAACGGACACCAGGTGCAAAATTTAATTTTGTTCTACTTTCCCATAGATTCAATCAAACGTTTTAATACAATCCACTCGAAATTTAAGACGAATTTATGAGCAAACAAAAAAGGGAAATTTTAAGTAGTGCTATGGAAACAATATGAGAAAGTGTTTATTTTGGAGAAAATTCTCCTTCAAAAAATGAAGAAAATCACTGTCGAATTTATCCCAACATTGAAAGAAGTTGACATCATTATCATTTACACTCTTCTTGGTTAAAAATTATGCTCTCCTTGATTGTCTTGTAGGTATCACTCACTTTTTGTCGTCTTGTAAAGATTTATTCGTCTGGAAGCGAGCAAAACCATGTCGCCTACATTTGCGAAATATAAGCTCTACCAAATTCAACTACTCGTAGTCACTCCATTTCAAACAAGTCAGTTTCTATCTTGCGTCAAACTCGACACTTACAATCAACTAATGTGCATCATCAAACTGAGTACAGGTATGAATAATTAGTCCATTGCACATAAGAACATTGAGTCTAGAACACGTCTTTCACGAACGCACACATGTTTAAAGAATTAACATCAGTTTCCTGTCCTGTATTCACATAACTATCAGTGTTCTCACGTTTAAAACCATTTATTGACAATATTTCAGATGAATTATCGCCCGTATTACCAAATCACTTGCTGCGTCTTCTTTTTGATTTGTCTTTCAGAATATCAATACTCAAAGGATTCTTATTAATTTCCTAGTATTCTCCGGAGAGCAATATATTCACTTAGTTTTAAGTTGAATTAACGCCGTATCGATTAAGGTAGAAGAGTAGTATAGTGTTATTGTTTCCCAACCACGCGACACTCGAAGTCAAATATTCGATAACTGAAAAGATACATGTTTAACATTTAACGCTTAGAGAAGGTCAAGAATTGGAAACGCGGAAAAACTTAATGGTTGTAGCATGGCTAAGTCATGTAAATGTGGTCCTTGCTGTGTAGCCTATCGCTTTCATATCAAATATATTAGTCTTCCCAGCTCAAGTGTATTCGTCCGAAGTTCTTAGTCTCGACTAATTACTGCCACGTTAGGACAGGACAGCACGGATATTGCTGTGACTTCCAGGTAAGGCGTGGTATATTAGGCAATCGTATCACGGCAAATTTACAGTCGTGACATAATTTTATTGGTCTAGTAGCATAGATAAGTGTGATGAAACCGGCCTAGACCAGAATTCTGATTTGGCTGGAGCATCTAAAGAGATTCAGTGTGTTAATTAATCTCATATTAACCCAAGATTGATCAGTTGATTTTAATTCATGTTAAGCAATTATTCTAATAGTCTGTTGATGCGTACTCACGTGTATTGTTCCGTAAAATCGATTATTCACAGTCAGCTTTTTATATTGAACGATACTAATAAGTGACCAACTATATTTATGATTGTCTATAATGGTTCATTAACACGCTTTATTCGAGATTATATTCTTCAGTGAATTAGGTTTGTTAAAACATCAGGCACTTTCAAATGTGGAGATAAATAGATTTAAATTCACATACTCTGGCAATCAATCTATGCAAAGACTGGTCAATTATTTAGATGTAATTCTTAACTTCATTTCTTCACTTAACATTTTACTCTCTTTTAAATTATCTACTACCAACAAGTATCATTTTTCGATCATAGCCTGTCTAATTTCAAAATTTTGAGTCCCATTGGCAAACAACAAAGACGAAGCCTTGGAAACATACTGTGAGCTTAAGCTACAAAGTATCTATAGTCTCAAGCTCATGAGAGACACACTTTAAGTAAATTTTTTTCGGATTTATACTAAATCAACATGGTGAAAAATCAAACAGTATCAGGTACATTCCGGAGTTTGTTGCAATACTCTGTGTTTAGTTCGGTTCTTTTTAGGATTTATACTAATTTTCACAATTAATTGAAACAAGAGTATCTCATTTGATGGAACATGAGCACCCAATACTTTTCATGTCCCTAGTTTATGAACACAGAAAAACCGGAACAAGACTGAGCTGTCTTGTACTTAAATTTCTGCTAGGTAGCACATTAAGTGTCTACTAAAAACTCCATCAGTCTCGGCGAATCTGTATGATGTTCAGAGGCAGTGCATTTTTCTTAATAAACACGATCTGACTTTATTATTATTATTGTTATTAGTGGCTTTATTCAATATTATATTTTTGGTACAAGATAGAATTCTCAGCACAAAGTATTTCAACAAGTTTCCCTTTCTCATTTCTTGATCAGTTCCTTGCGATAAATATTGAGTGGTCACCAGTTAGATGTTAGCTTTACAGGAATTGACATCTGATAAATGTATATTCTTTTCGATGCATATTGCCAGTAACCATGATGTTTCTGATTGAGCTCTTTTGTAACTTGTGCAGCAAAATGTCGTAAACTTTTTACAAACGCACCTGAATTGGTTATGAGACTAATAGGCATAATGATGTGTTAAACAAACTAGAAAACAGATAACTTGTTGAAATATCCAGATGGCAGAAACAGGTAGCCTAAATATTCAAGCAGGCCGCGTTGCTACAAATCAATCTGTCTCTTCAAAGGTTCTCCAAAGTCTACAAATAACCTGAATTCATAGAAAATCGCATCATTTAAAGGTCAAAACACAAAGTGTACCATTGCGAGGGATACAAACGAACCAGAGAAGATGCTATGTACAGGCAGGTTGTGCAACTAACAAACCAGTGCACAAAATAGTTGACAGGGCAGACTTCATTGTAAGATCAAGCTGATCAAAGCTCTTGTTTCTAATCGAAATTCTTATTAGGTTGTATGCCTTCTCTTTGTTAAGCCGAATCTGGATTTGATCGGTTGTTAGGTACTAATGACCCTGTCGACAACTAAAGCGATGAAGTAACATTCCAGGAGAAATAGTGTTTGCAGCATTTCAAACACTGTATACGACTCACAATAACTCACAGTAACTCAAAAGACGTTTCAGAAGTAAACCTAAGCACTGAACAGATGTATCAGAAGCTGCAGCACTTAAATGATAACATTTCTGACCTGAATGGGGTTCACTCTTCTATAACGAAACAAGAGTATTCTGTTTTGCATACACCACATTCACTAAACCATAGTGCAACACCAGAAAACTCACATCACTCTATATTTTAGAGGCTGATTTAAGTAGCCTTCAATTTACCAACTAGTAGCACTTCATTTGATACTCTCAAAGGTTACGGAAACACTAAAATGTGATGATCAACGTGACTGCTTTTCATTTATGAACATTTTTTACCTCAACAACACGTTTTGTGAATAAAATATTCCAGCATCACCAATCTGCAGACTGTGGTGGACAGCTGAACCTCTATGCTTCATTGCGAGGAAAAATAAAATGTGACATCCTGGATTTCCAAGAGGCTCTGGATGGAGCCAGTCACAAATATTTTATAAACAAAATGAACCTGACAAGCATCGAGTTACCACTGATAGACTGATTCAAATAATATCTGAATGACTGACTATA